TCCAAACTCGTCCATCAGAGTGCCACAACATGTAGCGTGACTCATCACTCCACATAACGCTTTTCCATTGCTCTTCTGTCCACTGGCGACGTGCTCTGCACCACTGAAATCGGTGGCGGGAGTTTGATGGAGAGATGTTTGGCTTATGTGCTGCTGCTCGTCCATGGAATCCTTGTGCAATCAGCTCCCGACGAATGGTACGTGCACTGGCAACACTGCCAGATGCAGCCCGGAAGTTGGTAGCGACAGTGTCCAACGACATTTGTCGGTTTGCCTTCACTACACGTCGAAGAGATCGTCGATCCCTGTCGGACATTATTTTGGGCTTGCCGGGTCGGGACTGCGGTTTTTCACTCCCTCTCGTTCCCATTTCAACACGACGTCACCAACTGTTGACTGTGGTACCTGAAACTTGTCGGAGATGGCAGGTATGGAATGACCAAATCGGTTGGCGCTTATGATCATGACCCTTTCCGCCTCATTCATCTCTCGTCGTCCACTCATTTTCACTTTTAACGCTCGTATGGCCGTCGCCTGCTTGCGAGTGGTCTTTTCCCCACCTCAGGTTCCGTATTTATTCCACCAGGACGAGACCACCTGCCGTTCAAGGGGTGTCCGGTCATTAATGGCTAGATAGTGTATTACGTATATTACGTTGAAGTTTTAAACAATTCATTTTTCCATCGACCCAGCTATTATGTTTTTTTTTTTAAATTTATTTTACTGTCTTCATCATATTTTACTGGCTTCAACAAACATATTTTAGGAAACTTTCATACTTTTAAGCATGGAGTATTACTGCAAATTCCAGTTTTGCAAAAATTAGTTACTCTTCTAAGAAAATTCTTTCTTAATTGGTCGAAACCCTAAAGTGACCTAAACTCTCATATTTTTCTGTTGATACAAAAATGTAACTATAAAAATAATGGTGAGTGAATTGATTATTAAGCAAGCAATGTATTGTATAGCAAATTTTGTTCAATTTAAGAAAAATAAAACTTTGCTTTTGTTTAAACAGTTTAGTCATTTAAATATAGCAAAGGAAAGTAAGTATAATGTTTTAAACTATTTTTTTGTCAGCATTTTGCAGCTAATTTCAACACGCATTAACTTGGATCATAATGAATTAACTTTTTCAATTTCTTGATACACATTTGTTACAGGGAGAAAAAAAAGTATATTTTGCTACACTCCATGAGCCAGTTATAGCACATTATAATGTGGCAATTTTTTAGAACATGTGGTCACTTTTTGAAAAATCGAAAATTTTGAACGATCAAAAAATACCGTTGATAATAAAAGTGTGAAGATTTCTCCTCATATGGTAAACATTAGGTTCATTGTTAAAAAAAATTTAAGAAACAAGCATGAAGTAAAAAAAAATTAAGAACATTTTGAAACATTCAAAATAATTCCATATTCGCTAAAAAATAGTAAAATGCACATGAGCTGCATTTTCAGCGAAAAAAGTGGCGATTGTGATTGGGTGACGACTGGTAGACATTTAAATTTGTCGCAACACAGGGTCACCCTGTGGCCAGTGGTGACCCTGTGTTTCCCCCTATAACACTTCTGCAGAATGTTTTTTTTAAAATTTCCAATGGCCAAGGTTACAAAAGACCACTCACCACAAAGGGAGCAGCATCAAAATAAACAAACACAAACAAAAACAAACTTGGCACTTATACAGAATGTAATGTTAATTTTTTCTGCCGATCAAATTACGATAGAAAGTACTGTTAGTATCATCCGTTAACTTCATTTTACTGTAAAATCCATTTTTTTCCAGTAAATTTTATGAGGAACAAGTAAATTCAAGAGTTAGAGAGAACACTTTGTTTAGTTTACACATATTAAGTTTTCTGTGATAATAATGTGAGTTAATTTCTAACTCATCACTTATAAGAGTATTGCTTTTGTTAATTTAAACTAAATATATAAAATATATTTTTTTTCGCTACAATTTTAGCTTTTATATATTTGAGGTGATATATTTTTGTGCAGCTAATAAAAAAAACAACGCTTTAACATACTATTTTAATCTTTTCATTCAAATTTTTATTACTTTTATTACGGAATTTCATAGTTTTTATAGCTGTTGCAAACTATGCATTTCCAATTTTTTTTCAATGGTGCATTCACATAATTAATACATCTCTCCTCTCCACCGAAATTCAGCATTAATTTGTTAAATTATTTTATGAAATAAAGACTGAATTTCACTTAATAAGAAAATATTTTAAATATAAAATAAATATCAAAAACAATTTTCTAATGCGGTGATTTTTCTCTGAAGTGGATTTTTTCACATAGTTGAACATATTTCAGTTCTTTATAGGTTAATATTTATTAGGATTAATAATTATTCAGATAAATACTGTTAAGAATATCTATATGTAATATGTAATGTCAAAATTAATTTCCTTTCGGTTTTATATGTAGCAATAGATTAAAAAATGTGTTACATTGTCTACTCTAATGCTATGTTATGGAGCTTGGAGAGTAATACAGCTTTTTTTAAGATAAGTAAAAGTAATTCATTAGCTTATACATCCATCAAAATGATTATGAAAGTTAAAGTTTTAATAAAAATTATACTAGGCAAATTTTAAATTGTGCTAAATGTTTTGGCAAATTCATAAAAATTTTTTTTTGGCTCTTCTCGTATGCATAGTAAAAATTATTGGGGTATTTTTTTTAATTTTAAGAAAATGGAACTAAAAAAAAGTATTATGAGAAAACTGATAATGTTCCAGAATCTATAATTTTTTGAATACATAAATGAAATATTGTGTTATTTTCTCACTTGATGTTTCTATTTTTGAGCTATGATAAAAGCAATTGTTTTCAAAATATTTTTTGTTGGCCTAAAAATTGAGTAGGAGGATAAAGAAATAATTAGCTTAAGTTCCCCACTGAAGAAATAAAAAATAATTATACACATAGAGATACCAAATTCAATAATTAAAAACAAATATATTTATTTAGTAAGAAAGCATTTCCTTTGAATTAAGTTTTCCTTTCTACCTACGCCCGCAAGAGAGGTTAAAAAATTAATATAACCTTTTATTGTGCAGGTGAATGAAATAATTATAACTTTTTACCTACTAAAATATCTCGAATTTAATTTTAAAATGAAAACAGCCTTCTCTTAATCCTCTTTCTAGTTCTTAATTTTCTTTCTCTTTAATTAGTTTTTCAAAAAGGCATTTGGTCTTTAACTTCTTCTTTCCTCTACAATTATTAATTATTAAATTAATAAATTAACCCGTGTTTCGTAAGACTTGCTGTAAAATAATGAAACCAGAGATGTTCTTTAGGCTTAACTAATTTTATAATACGTATTTAATTTTTTTTAAAATACTAAGTTATTTGGAAAAATATTTATTAGTATTATTATTTTCAGAAAAGTACTATTATTTTTTTTATCATATTGCATAATCTCTTCGTTAAAATATGTTTAAAAAATAATTTTTGATTTGAAACTTACCTAGAAAGAAGACAGATTTCAAGAAATGAAATATTATGGCGATCGGCAAAAATTTTATTTTCTTACCTCGAGAAACTTTGCAAAAGCTGGTTTAGCTGAAGAAATACTTTTAACGGAATCTCTTGCTGCTTTCCAGTTATTGATAAATTCAATATATGTATCAACAACTTCCGGTCGGGTAAACTGAAAAACAAATAGAAGTAAATAATAAGAATATCATGAATGAAAAATATCAAAATAATAAATTAAAAGTGAAATTATCGAAATTATCAGTCTTTTTTTTTTAATTTTTGATATTACTGTTATGTCCGGCAGCAGTTTACAAAGATATATACTCTATTTTCTGCAGCGCAATTCATTTTAACTAGGAAATTTTGTAGTTACGTATTCTTATGTCTGAAAATGAATTATCTTGTTTTAAATTCCAAATTTCATTAGTTTTGAAGTTGTAAACTAGTTTCTATTGGCTTATATAAATTTTCGGATTTTTCAACGAAATGAAAGAAAGCAAATCGCAGAAAATTAAAATCTTTTTGTAGCCACTTACTCTTAATAGAGAAGATAAAATTATTTTAACCTTTTTTAATACTCAAATTTGTTTCGGAGATATCGAATTACAAAGTTTTGGTGTTTTTTTTAAATAATACCAAAAGGTCAACAGAATTATGCATTTTTTTTGGAAAGAAACATCCCATAATACTCTCATTTTAATAATAACAATAAAAAATTCCAATGAATTATTTTAATTAGGGGCTCGATTTTAATTTTAATGTAATCTAATCTCGAGAGTTCTTCGATTCTTTATCTGTTTCTTCAATCGTATTTTGCTTATATTCTCAGCCTAAAACGTCAGACGATTTTTTCTTACTATCAATATCTTCATTCGTTTCTAAGGAATTATTTTTCACTTTAAATCTTTGCGATCGGAATTTTTAAGCATACTTGTTTTATCCGCCAATTTCTTTTCAGTTAAATTTTGCGCTTTTAGCATATTTACTACCCGTAAAAAATAAAAATAAAAGCAATTTTAACTTTTAAAATTTTTCAATTCGAATTTTCATTTTGGCTTTTCGCTCTGAATCTTTCATTTTTATTCTGAACTGAACAGTTTCTTTTTAAATTCGGGTTGCGCTTATAACATAAACATGCCGGACGAAAAGGTAAATAAATAGGGATGACTATTGCTTATATTAATAAACAAGACAGATTTGATGGTGGGAAAAAATAAAGAGGAGTTGAGAGAAGGTTAATCAAAATACCATCAAATTTCAATTTTAAATTCTACCTATTTTGATGTTTATTACTCTGCCCTTTAATCTGCGATTTGTCAGATTTTGAATTTTCTTCCTCACTTAAATATTAATTTTTAACCTCATCCTATGTATATATTCTCAGCGTGCAACCAGGAGGTCTGGTTTCAAGTTTACCGAATTACTAATGATTTAACAAAACATGTGATTTATTGCATTTGTAAGACATTAAACACAGATTTAAAAAAAAAACAAAAAAAAAAAACGCTTTTTTTTATAAAGCCATATTTAAACTGCATCCAAAGCAAATTTCATTCTTCATGAGACTGGTTTCTGGTTTAAAAGTCTGTCTCGCTCTAAAAAAATCTAAAGAGTCTCGTCTAAAGAATTAATTTCAATTTCACGTTTTTGATATTGATGTTGCTTATTATCTTGTTTTTTTCATTATTTATCTTGATTTTTGTCAGCCTCACTTAATCTTATTCTTAAAGTCCTGACATACCACCACCAAGAGAAAAACATGCTTCCTTGATGTGCAAAAATTTTCTCAGTTTAGAATATTAAGCAAGAAATTTTTACATTTACCATGCCATAGATTGATGGTTACTCTATCAAGTCTCTCTTGTCCATAGAAATTTTGAAATTCAACGAAGTAAAATTTTGGTAATATAAATAAAAATCTCATTTAGCCATAATTGTTCCTTCAATAAATAAAGCGTAATAAATAAAGCGCAATAAATAAATAAAGCGTTCCTTCAATAAATAAAGCGCAACAATAGCAAGGGACATAGCACTAAACTATTAAATTCAATTTTTCCATTATTTCATAACTAAAATATCGTTACAGTGAATAAAAGTTTATTAAACTATTTTTTTAACTTCTAAAACTTTTTAGATCCGTTACTTTCATTATCAATACTACCTTAATGACATATGAAATACCCAAGATGAATTCAAAATAAAATAAGTTTTTTTAACAATCATCTTCATTGCCCTAGGAATTTTAATGACGATTCTATTAATACCATATGCATACTTATACCTGGAAAGTAATTTCCTATAAATCATGTAAAATGTTTACTTAAAAAAATTAATCTTTCAAAAGGTTTTTCTTAAAGAACAGGTAAGATAACTATATAAACAAGTTAATCCTGCAAAATTGCATAAATTTAGTAAATATATACCTTAACCCTCTATTATTATCTGGCCATCCACTTTATGTTTTTTTTTAGTGATATAGATAATTTTCTTTCTTGGTACTAATTTTTGTAAGGATTTTATTTCTTTCTCGAAATTCTGCTCCAAGGATTCAGCCATAGAATATTCTGAAAATAACACTCTTTTCTCCTCTTTTTTTTCTTCAAGACTATTTTAATCCATGTTACAACTCTGATCCTTAATTTCTCGCTTTTTTATTTCATGAGGTAATTAAAAATTTTCTTACTAATACATACCCTGATGTAAAAATGCTCAATCTGTATTCTTCTTTGGAATCTTTTGGCTGTCTGGAACACCACATAGCAAACCGAATATTTTTCCAGATTCCATTTCTCTCGCTTATTGTCTAGTACGTTTCTTCTTAACTAATACTCTTACTTCAGATTTTATATTTTTTAACAGATGCTGCTTTACATCAACCTTTGATGCATTTTTCTTCTTAATATCCCATGTGTTTAACACGTTGAGCGCCGCGTCAGCCATCGGTGGCTGACACAGGACTTTCCATTTAGGCCGCGTCAACCACCGGTGGCTGACACTGAAATTACATTTAGGCTGCGTCTGCCACCGCTTGCTGACACTCACCTTTCACATAGGCCGCGAAAAACAGCTGGCGGACAGCGTATAACATGATATGGAACTATAAAATTTACACTCTTTTACTGAATTGCAGAAATTTTATTCAAAATTTACTTAATTATTGTGATTCTCGGTTTAATAAATCCAATTTAGTAGATTCTTATCCACCACTATTCTTAAACAATTCGTAGTGTTATATAATTCACCACTTTTTTTATATATGGCATGCTAAACCTTTTAAAAGTAGCAAAACCTGTCTAATATTTGCAATTTTAGTTTGTAGTTAATTACAGTTTGGCCAGACGGGCAAGCCATACAAAATTAGCATGGTGTTCAATGTGTTAACATTAACTTTTCATTTCTACAAACGTATCAGGAATTTTTGATGCACTATGTGGCTTCTTCTTCTTCTTGCTTGAGCTTGTCAGATATGTGGCACCTCTGCACATGTTGCATTTTGTACCATGGCTTAGTACCACCAACATATCTCAAATCTAAAGACTTCGTTTCCAATATTCGTTTGATTTCCACTCATTCTACAATGTTCTTAGGTTCTAAATTCACACCTTCATCTTTTCGTCATTCAGATAGTGCTGATTTGCTAACACTTTTCTTTACTGCCATCCTGCCCACTTCGCTTATTTTATCTCCCTAACCGTGGTTTTCGTCACCATTTTTAATCACTACAGTTAAGCATGCTTTCCTGGCTTCAAGGGTTAAAATTATGATTCAAAATAGTCCTATCAGCAAGTCAAATTTCAATTCATTCAATTCATCAGTTGATCGATCAACATGATCTTTTTTTCGTTACTAGTTTAACATTCTAGAACTAATTTCCGAATCTGAAATTTCTTTATATTTTCGTAATTCCTGTAAACTTTTCGACACTCCTAAGTAATTTGAAATGGGTATATTTTTATAGGTTTTGCGTAGTAAAACAAGATTTCAGCAAAACAGGTGGCGGCTCTTAAGGTTTTTTAGTTTAGGGAGGTAGATAAATGATACTTGAAAACTTCCCTACTTTTCTTTGCACGTTTTCCCCTTTTTTGGGGATTTGAATGGATCAGATTCAAAAGAAAATTAAATATTTTCAAGGAATTACACAGAATGCCTGTTTAGAAGAAATTCATTCCCCCTTTAAATTACGCCATTTTTCACAAAGAAGGGGGAATATAAATAGCATTTATAATATCATAACAATGCTTTCTACGAAGAAAAATTTTGATTATTTATTTTTCTGAATAAAAAAAAATCTTATTTTACCGGACTAAACACAAACTTCCTAATATGTGAGGTTCTAATGAATAGATTCCATTACAGATTCCATTAAGAATAAATTCCATTAAGAATAAATTCCATTAAGAATGAATAGATTCCATTACGAAACTCCATTTTTCCATCGAGATTCGATTGATTTTATTTTTCTCACAAACATATCGTACTGAGTCCTTAAATAAACAGATATACATTATGATTCGTTTTTCTAATAACAATTATTGTGACACCAAATATCAGAAGGGACAAAAAAAAAGAAGAAAATATCACGAATATTGCATTTTGAATACCAAATATACTATTAAATTTCATATTTACACATATTATGCATACTTTCAAGATATGAAATTTATGATATTAATGTAGTACTTCAGTAATATAAGAGACTAGCCGTCATTAGCTACCAGCTTTTCCTTTAAAAAATATCTTGTACAACAATTAAACTTTAATGGTAATCTAGCCAAATGCACAGCACAACTGTAATTGATTATTTTAAGATGAGAACAAGAAAGATCTGTGTAAAGTATGTGGATAAAATTTCAATTTCAATTAGACAATGAAATGGTGGGGTTAAAAAATATGTATAACAAAAAATATAAGTGAAATCAGAACTACTAAGTACACTACTATCTCTATGGACACAATTGTTTATTTCTGAAGTGGGTGATTTAATGGTCACCGGCTCAAATGACCTCACCCTGATAAGTCTAACATATAGCCGACCAAGATTAAAAAACAAGTTTGGTCAAGTTTTTCAAAAATTTGTCCTCGGTTTTCGCTGAGCGTCATAGACACATTGAAGATATATTACATGTAATTATTAGATTATAGATATATTATAGATTGTATAGATTGATTATA